ATGATCCTACCTCTGTTGAACTGCTTCTTTCTCCTTATCCCCTAGGTTCCTCATATACCCTTCCCTCCCCCCTCCCCTAGACTAACCCATTTTTTATCCATATCTCCCTTCTTAAGGTCTGTTGCCTACTATTCTTCTCCTTCAGGTTTGAATCCCAGCACCCACATGACAGCTAGCAATGTCCGTAACTCCAGTCCCAGGGGATCTGACAGTCTCTTCTGACCTTTGTGGGCATTGCATGACATGGGTGCACTTACATACACGCAAGTAATACACGGATACACATAAAATAAAAATAATAAAATTTCAAAAAAAACACAGCTGATGTATTCAGGGCTAAGAAGATATGATGTCTGCAACTTTTAAAGGTGTTAGGAAACGGTATGTATGTGTGTAGAGAATGATAAAGCAAATGTGGCAGAATATTAACAGTGGGGATACAATTTTAAGATTTTTTTTTATTTTCATGTGTATATGTGTGTGGTGTGCGTGCATGTGTGTGTGTGTGTGTGTATGTTCATGTATATGTATATGTATGTACATGCATGTAGAGGCCCAAGGTTGGTGTTAGGTGGTCTTCCTGAATCCCTCTTCATTTTACTCATTGAGACAGGTCTTTCAGTTGAACCCAGAGCTCACCAATATGGTTGATCTTGCTCCAGGGATCCCATTTTTGCCTTCCAAGGCTGGAATTACTGGCAGGCCACCCTTGCTCACTCTATGTGGGTCCTCAGAATTTGACTTCTAGTCCTCCTGCTTGTGTAGTAAGTGCTTTAATCACTGAGCCATCTCCCCAATCTACTTTTTTTTTTTCCTTTTAAATAAGAATTAAGCCAAGCCCAGTGGCACATGCCCATAATTCTCACTGTTTAGAAGACTGAGACAGGAGGATTAACAGATTCAAGGTCAGCCTGAGCAGTTAACCAGACCCTGTCTCAAAATAAAAGAGCCAAAAAGAAAGGACTGGGGCTATAGCTCAGAGCTAGAGTGCTTGCCTGGCAGGTGACAATGCCTTGGAAATAAGTTAGAAAGCTAGTGTACACTTTTGTAACCTGTCTAAGCAGGAAGTACCAGAACATTTTCCAGAGCTCAGACATCTGTTATATTTTATTTTCTGGGTAAATAGTTGACTATATGTTGGGGTTTCCCAGGGAATTTTAAAACAATACTGTTGCCATGGTACCAACCTAGGTAGCTTGATTTTCAGTGGACAGGGTATGGAGATTTTATTTTGTTTTGATCTTTTGTAATTTGTTTTATGTTATTTGTGAACAGTC